TGGTGCCTAAAGATTACTTGGTGCCGCTATAAACGACCGTTAAATGAAATGATGAATTTTTGAAGGATTTTGAAAACAGAAAAAATGATAGTCATGCCGGCCCAGCATCATCAATATTGAAAAATGCCCCGGCATGAAGTGGTTAATGCTGCCAGTCCAAACCACAGCCTTACCAACAGGCAGTGACCAGCATAACAATATGTACAATGTTCGTAGTACCAGTACATGTATGTATAAAGAAATCATGGAATGTGATTTACATGTATGTAAACTGCCACGAAACCCGACTTTTGTAGCAGTATACTCATGTGAAGAATAATTTCAATGAAATAAATTGTTAGAAGAAAAAAGTGAAGTTTCTTCTTTTGTACATGTAAGTTCAAACTTGTTATGAAATAATGACTGTCCATTTTGTGCACTACAGGTACAATACAATACTGTACACTGAATTCAACAGTGAGACATGTCAATATTTCTTTACATCCATTTCCAAATTTCCATCTTCAGAAATTGACAAAGAGGCATATTTTTCCTACATGTGTTTTAATAGGATTTCAGATACTAGTACAAGTATAGTTGGCTCTTCATTTCTTATTCAAAGTCCATTGTCAAAATTCTGTACTGTAGTCATGATTGTTGGAGGGAGGGGCATTCTACAAGGAATTTTCAAAAACGTTTCCCTCAATATCAATTGCCATGCCTAACGGACTTCCACTTTACAGCACTGTGACATTCCAGATATGGGAACACAAAATGTGATTATATTTACCCAATGCGCCTCGAGCTGGACCAGGAGAGGGCGCTCTATTCATAGCAACAGAGGCTCCTTTAATTGTTGGAACTGAACTGGTTCACGAGAGACTAGGAAATTTGCAAGCGTCACTGTCGCATCACCACCAACAAATTGAACACTCCTGACCAACGTAGCTTTTTTCAACCGATGAAGGGGTGCTTCTGCTCGAGGCAGATAGATTTGACTTTGAATTGTTTCATTGATATGAATTTTGGTCAGGGATTTACCGGTAAGTCTAAGGAACTGGGATTTGATTTGAGTACCTGTACGTGTACATGTATCTTACTGATTTACAGATATTGGCCTTTTAGAATGTAAACATCACACATTGGTGCATTTGTACCACTCGCCACCAAGGGCTACCATGACAAGGAAGCTTTAATACACGTGTGCCTTTCACTGTCTTAGGATGTGGATGATCTTTTCAGTGATGACAACTCATCTGGACTAGTCCATTCTGTCTGGGGGAGCACCGGCCACCTATTTGTGTCCCTGAAGGAGGGGCTGGCACTGAAGGCCTTCGATACAGCACCCATTGATCAAAAGGTACAGTACTTTAAAAATATCTGCTACATCCATGTATTCAACCCAAACTTCACTGCCAATCAGTTTTGGATTGTCATGACCAAAGATTGAACTTGGAAGAGGATGAAGTTACATGACAGGGATTTGTGTGGACTGCCTGTTGATGAAACTCACATCCAGGGGGGAGTCAGGTTGGCAGGGTACCGGTAGTTCTTTCCTCGCCTTCATCTCTGTGGTCCCGGGCTCGATTCTTACTGTCTCCCCTTTACTGATGTTGGTGAATGTGGGTCGTTTGGCGGCTGCCCGAGGCGCCCTTGTATGCCATCGGCTCAACCATGTTTAAATGTATTCATTGTTCCATGCTTAATGTCTTCATTGTACAGCGCATTTGAACATATCCATATTAAATTTGCGCTTTATAAATGAATAAATTGGTATTATTATCCATCTGATGGCCTGCCTTCCTGCTCTACATGTACACGTACAGTATGTGGTAATCAGACAGTGCCCGTTTACAGAGTGTTGTCGCGCTGAACAGATGCCAGTCTATTTGAATTAGATGGAATTTGTGCTACATTATAGGCCTTTGTACAGGCAACCTCATGTCTTGGACATGTACAGTTTTCTTCGGGATCATCCCTACCTGGGACCTTTAAAAAATTTTAAAGCATGACATTATCAGAACCTATGTATGTATGCCTAGTAGGCAAAATATTCTTGAGCTTGGCGGTTTTCGTCTTGTACTTATAGTTCGTGATTGAGTGATATCAATATAATCCACAGCCCATTGGTTGCCAGCCATTAAGTTGTTTCCTTATCACAGGTGCCAAAAGAGAAAAGGGCCCTTGTTGTGCGTCAGGGGACGTCAGAAGTCATAGACATCTTTGCTCCAAAGAAAAAGAACACCCCAGTCTACGTTGTAAGTATGGCCTTCTCAGAAGTACATGTACATGAACACGAAGCTGTGGATTTGAGTTACACATGACTCTGTGGTAGTGGCTTCTGCCACAACCAAAGATTGTATAGCGCCGAAGGCACAAGATGGATAACTCTGGGGCCATTTGAGCAAGCGATACGCCTACGCAGTTCACGGTAACTCTTAGGCCCAGGCTCACCAGGTGCACGTGTCTGCCACGGTGCCTGCGCCTGTGCATTTATGTGCATTGCGCAGGTGTATCGCTTGCTGAAATGGCGCCCATGTGATTACAATGTTTTACATGTAGGTGTATTCACGGTGAAGTTCTCCATCTTGCGTTGCTACACGGGGCACTATACGATCTTTTGCCACAATTTATGCTTAAAAACAGAGAGTCATGCGTAATTTCATGTAGCAACGAAGTAATTCAAATAAACTTTTGTTGTTCTGACTTTTGCCGTGTAGCCTTTGCTTGGCGGCCTTCTAAGGGTTCAAATGCTTTGTCCTCACCAGGCATAGGCATCTTTGTGTCTCTGTTATCACATCATTCACATCAGAAAACCTGCCCTCAGACATGGCCGCTGGTGCAAAGGGTCTATATTGCAATAAATGGATGCGGAGGGATCATGCCATCAGCAGCCTAATTTTACAGTAGCTTACATGTAATTCTCACCACGCATGGGCAAGACTTTTGAAAGTATTTTTATGATATTCTCTTATCAACCTTAAATTTACAAGTGATGGTGGACTTGACATGTACTAGTACATGTACTAGTACATGTACATGTACTAGTACATGTACATGTACTTGTTCGTCAGTGCGCATACATACGTGTACATGTATCCACACAATGTAGACATGGTAGAGTGGTCAAAATGGCCGACAGGGTGTTCGTGTACATGTATTCTGTACATGGTACACAGAACTAAATCTCTGGTCTTCTGCAGTTGCAAAATCACATTTCAAGTACATCACATGTGTACAAATGTTGTACGTCATATTGTGAACAGAAAAGCTCATCTTTTACTGTACGTATTTCTGGGATGCATATTTTACATTAACATGTACTTGTACACATGTGCCAGAAACTGCTGGTACCAGCATATTGACAGACAAAAAACACTGTCACATCAGACAAAGGAAGTCCGGATTTCCACTTGACCAGCACACGCCGCTTATGCTGGTACCACTATTGCTGCTTCACATGCCCACCATTCAAGGCCTTTAGTGACCGTCTGAATTCACTTTTAAAATAAAAATTGCTTGGAGAGACGGAAATTCAATTAACGATGCAGAGTTGAAGCTATTTAAAGTGATTTTAAATTTTTCTTTGCAATTTCCATTTCTTTTTGATATTGTTATGCGTTTTCCTTGCAGTGAGCAGTTAAGCTGTGGAGATCTTGTTTCTTATTTTGCCGTTTCTTTATAAACTGGTAGAACTAATTGTTTTACTTAATTATAGAAGAAAAAGTAGAGCTCAAAACATCGTAGAGTGGTCCATAGCTAGACTACATGTAACTTCTTATCATGAACACCATGGATGCAGATTGACCATTTAGACCCAAAGGACACTTCACTTTTTGGACCGTACATTAAAACTGCAGTAACCACCTTCAGTACTCTGGTGAACACGTGCCTTTGCTTTGCTATCAAAATGCACTATAACTATGGTAACGTACATGTACATGTTAACTCAGCAGACAACTTTCAAAAGAGGGGAGTTTTGTTAAACCTTGCCACACAGTCACATGTAGTTCTTGCTTTCAATACTCTCATTAAGAAGAATAATTCAACTTTGCCTCAGGCTCACAAAAATGGAATTCTCAAAGCGTGGCTGTACTCGGTCCAAGGTGGGTGGGTGCATCTGGGCAACATTACTCTGTCCGCCACGCAACAGATGGAGCTGTGCTCTGTGACTATCGACGAGAGCCGAGGTCGGGTGATCTGGGTGGAAACTCAGTCACGCGGCAACCAAGATGGCTGCCATTATAGCGTCTGTACCAGGACCATCATGTTTGGTGAGGCAAATGGCACACTGGAAAATTTCATGAAATGCCCAAAGATGTTGTTTGCGTCGTTGGCAAATTGCGACTGAGTACATTTTTGTAGGTTTATGTACATGTAGGTTGAAAATGGAAAGATGAAAATGATTGCTGAAAAAAGGATCCGTGAAATCAACTTGTAAAAGGAATTTATGTAATAATTATGAATTACATTTTTCTTTGTTTATAAATTTACGTGTCGGCCAAACCTCATTATTAAGAGGTCCTTAGGACTTCACAAAACACTTTTTACATGGACCTTGTATCATCAGGAATAAAAACAGTGAAAAACAAAGGATTTGAGACCCACAAAAGTTCCTTGTTGTAAGCAAAATCTTGTACTAACATTGTTCTTATTTTGACTATATGTGGCATAGATCAAATATGATTTTTTAACTTATTAGATTTATGAGGTAGGAAAGGTCTGCCAATGTGGAGAGATTGGTGTTGCTCCCTGTTTTGTCACATTGCCGGTGGATTTGCAGGGTGTACATACTGGTGCATGTAAGTGCCGGTCATAATCTGTCGAATTGTGATATTTGGCTTTTGTAATTGGACTTCTGAAGGAGGCACAATATATATTTCATGAGTTTGTGCTTACAGAGACCACTGATGTCAAGTACTGCGTCGGTCCTGTTTTGACGCTGCTTCAGAACTGCCCCAAGTGTGACCTGTACTGTTCACCATTTGCAGTCACCATTTGGCCAAGGTACATGCATGATCAACCTTAACCACTTCG